CACCTGGCATACTCTCAAACACCTGGCATACTCTCAAACACCTGGCACACTCTCAAACACCTGGTATGTTCAGACGTTGGGTTTAGTGCTAGCTGCTGTGTTAGAACTTCAAACTTATTCTAGATCAGAACATTTAACGGCTCATCACAATTTTAATGTTCTTCAGTTCAAAAACAACAGACAATGGATATACATGTAAAAATTTATTTCAGTTTGATTATGAAATGTCAAAAATAGACAATATATAAAATCATTTGGCAGTTTACATAAGTGTTGTTCAATAAAAACTCTCCTTAAATATTTGTAACAATCAAACAGCTAAAAACAGAGTCAGGTGCAGAGCTTTAGCTTTCAGGTAATAACAGGTTATGGTTTATATTGAGCATTTCATGTTTCATCCAACTATATTCTGGATCAACTGCTCATCTGAAAAAGGTTATTTCACACCTCAGTGGATATTTAACAGTTTATCTGTTGGATTTGCTGACAACAAACAGAATAAAAACAATTTTAAAAAAGCAGCTTTTCATTTCATTTACCCCTGTAGGCACTTCCAGTTTCAGCTAAACACGAAGGTGCAGATCATTATTGTGTTCATTAGGACACACTGTCTCAGTACAAACACACAATTATTAAAAAGTTATAAATTATAGTGCAATTAACACAATCTGGACCTTCAAACTGGAAGAACAGTCTGAGCCTGTTTCCGCTGATAGGAATAAATCAAAAGGTGCTAAAAATGTCCTGAGCAGATGGATAAAATTGAATCTAAATGTAAGAAACACTACGAGCTTTTATTTACATTCAGAGTTATTTAATAACTCGTCAAGTGCTTTACCTTTCATTTGTTCTGTCCAGTTTAGTCTCAGACTCTTCAGCACATCAAAATGTGTAACACCCCCCCACCCATCCCCCGATAAGCAGCGTTAACAGCACAGTCTGGTTCACAAAGCAGAACAACATCCCATCACTTATTTCTTTCAAATGACTTGTCCACTTTAACGAGAAACAAATTAACCCCCGCCCACTTTAACGAGAAACAAATTAACCCCCGCCCACTTTAGGGAGAAACAAATTAACTCCCGCCCACTTTAGGGAGAAGCAAATCAACCCCACCCACTTTAGGGAGAAACAAATCATCCCCCGCCCACTTAAGTGAGAAATAAACTGTGGCAAACTGTAAATCATGCCTTAAAGGTTTGTGTCACAGCAGAAATATAAACTGGGAAATGTTTTGATCTAAATACTTCATTACTGTATACATGTACACAGAACAGATCATATACTTTTACTAAAGTAGAATACATTAGGACTAATCTTCAAAATGTACCACTTATTTTTTGACTAAGGTAACAGATTTAAACCTTTCTGCAGCTATTGACTGACCTAGCATACAGAATGCTAGTTAGCATCCTGTAAAATAATTAACGAGTTCCACCTATGACAGAGGTAAAACAGCAGCTTATAAAGATAAATGTAAAAAAAATACATGTTCAAGTATACGTAGAAGTACAGTATATGACACACCAGGCCA